TCATTAGTACAGATGCTAAGAATCAACATAAAAGAATTAATAAACTGTAAACAGAGGTAGCACTAATTCTGATACACACTTTTGCAAAATATAACAACACTCACATACTTACTTCTCTGTCAGTTTTAGCAACTCTGCTTCTGAAGATCCATTCACCTACCTACAAAAAAAAGAAACTGAGGTTAGCAAAAAATACAAATATATTCATCATAAGTATATTTTTTTCTGTTAAGTAAACCAGACAGGCACAATCTAAATGTTTTAGCTGCCTGTACCCTGTGATCTGTCTTTGTAAAGAAAAATAAGATTCAGTTGCATGTGATAAGAAGTTAATTAAAAGCTTGATCTTTTTTCTTTTGGTAAAAGAGAGTGAATGAAGAAGTTCTTTCCTCAACTACAAGATGCATCTTTGTTCAGAGATTGAACCCTAGCATTGGTTCAAACAAACCAGATTGTCTTCTTAAAATTATAGTCCCATTTTATAACAGACTTGACCTTAAGTTTGTTCTACAACCAAGACACAGAACTAGTCTGATGTAGCTACAGGTTATAAATCAAAAGCTGACTAAACCAACCAGCTGATCCTAGGTTTGGTAAGGACAAAAGCAAGAGGATCCACTGTCCCTGCCCTCTCCAGTAAGCTCCATGCACGAGTTACTAATTCTGAAACCACTGCTCATACTGCTGCATTGGATGGTCAGCTGCATCATCAGAAGCACCTTCCTTGCACTTTCACAGTAACTGCCTCAACTTTTCTTTATTTTGTACTTCACTGACCTTTTCTAGAGCCTTAAAAATGCACACCAGGGTTGTATGTGCGTGAACAGTTCTTAGGCCAACCCCATGCCCTCCTTCCCACAATACCAGGAGGATGCTCTATGTGCTCTTAGCTGTCCCCACCATCCTCTTTTCTTTGTGCCCAGAACAGTACTTGAACATTTCTTTAGTTTTACGTACAGGAGGGGCAGAATTAGCTATGGCAAGGCAAAATCATGATGCTGAAAAGGCATGACCTAAAACACTTCACAGCTGGTCCCTCATGCCCAGGCCTTGCCCAGGGTGGACCATTCCTTCTGTCTGTACTTACCACAGCTGGGAAGCACCTGAAGTGCCCACAGCACCCACTGCCCCCTGCTCATCCACAGCCCACCTACCTCTCACACCAACAGAGATTTAGGTACTTGATGGCAACCCTCAGTTTTTTAGACAAACAGCAAAATACCAAGAGCTGAATTCAGATGAGGTTTTCAAGCAGGCTGCTTTTTTTTCCATTTGGACAAATACAGTAGTGACCCTGTCCTTTTGCCTGCAGAACTTATTGAAACTGTTAACTGAACACAATGTTCAAAAAGCAACATAGATAAATGCTACAGAAGCTGAGGACAGACTTACACCTCATGCTGCTTTGTCAGTCAAACCACCTGCAACAACCCAACACACATCACTGGCACCGACACTCACATACACACCCCGTTATTTTATCAGGAATCAAGCTGATAAAAACACTCCCCTTTTTTTATCACTGCCAGACCTCACTGAAATGAGCAAGAATTAAGACCAGTATTTCGACAAAAACACAAGCTGGAAAAAGGTAGAGCTACACTATCACAAAAGTCAACAGACTGACAAAGAATATACACTAGACAACAAGCAACTATGCAGGTGGAAAAAAAATCTCACCTGCATTTAGAGGAATGAAATGAAGAAAGTTAATCAGGCAGAATCAACCATCGAGTACATTGGTTAAAATGGTGCTAAGGTAAACAAGTAGAAGACCAATTTTATACAGAAGACAAAACTAACAAATTTTAGCTGAGAACAATGAGATAAAATAGGATCTATTTGAAAACATCAAAAGAAAAAAATGCTTGAAGGGAAGAAAATGCAATTCCCAGCATCTTAAGCACCTTTTATCTGTTTCTATAGAAAAAGAAAACAATCCATTTCTTAACTGATGTGACCTAACATAGCTTTAATTAAAACCATGGACAGTTTAAACTCTTAGCATCAACATCAGAAAATTCCATTAACAAGGACTCAAGAGCTCAAATCTCTAATGCTGTACTGAGATTCATCTGTTCTCTCAGTAGGCACAAAGTTGTCGTAAAACAAAGAATGAGAGAAACCTGGTTTTGTTTCACACCAAATACTGTAACTCATCCTGATTAACTATCTTCTATTAACATATACAACAAAAAAAAGAAAAATTGTTTAAATAAATATGGCAAGTGATTATATATCATAACATTAAGCATCAACTATCTCTTCCTATTTTTGATCAGAGGTGACTATTTTACCTAAAGCAGTGTCTTCTCTCAAATAAACACATTCTGTAAGTGCAGAGGTCATTCTATGAACACATCACAAGCTGCTCTACTGTAGCCAGCCACCAAGAATGGCTTTACTCCAATTAGCACTATGTTTTGCTCTATGCTAATATAGGTTTTTTCATCAGGCAGACTACACAGGACTCTTCAGATTTTTTGCACCTTCCTGATGCATTTGCAAAGCACTCCAGTACTTTGAAAGATTGGTACACAATTCTTGTCTGCTTACACTTACTTGAGACATCAATTTTCATCAAGGCTACACGTGTCTGCTTCTCCAGGATTTTTAATTTTCTAGTGTGTGCTATCATCCTTCTGCAGAATCCACATTTTTGTTTTCAACACATACAGCCTCCTAATCCAGATGGCTACATCTTGCCATATGTGAACAAAGCAAATGCAGAGACAGGCAGCTGGAGTGCCTCCCATGCCACTGGGACATATCTGGTTTTATAATGTTACTTTGATAAACAGCAGAGACTGACAAATGTGAGCCAATTTTGTCTATCGTCTCTACTTTGGAAAGCTCTCAAAAAAGCTCAAATGCTTTTGTACAAGATGTAGGAGAGATGTAACTTATTAGCAACAGCACTATGAAAATTGGAATGATTCCTGCTGTGAGGATATAAAGACAGAAAATATTGTTTTATCTTCCAACAATTAGACTCTGTATTTGATAATCCTCAAAGATAAGCCAGTATCTCTTACCTAGACAGAAAGCAAGACAGATAAAAATGGGTTTGGGGGAGAAAGTTACTTTCTCATCTTCCCCTCGTACTTGGGACAGGTAAAACACGCTGAATAGACACAGTCCTACTGGAAAAATTAAAAAGTACAAGTGTGAGAGCAGAGGGAAACACCAGGAAATAAAATAACATGAGAAAGGCACTGAGAAAAACCAGAGATTCAAAGACAATCTGTCTCTGCCTAATAGCAAATATTAGGCTGTAAGAGTTTCAAAAGCATTTAGAAGTATGACTGCAACAAGTCTAGGGATATTCACCTAGATACCAAGAGGTTTTCTTCCAACCTTTCTCAACCCATTCACAATGATTTTTACTTAAAACAGCGTGCATAAACTGAATATAATAACAGCAGCAGCATTACAATGAGGATTTACAATCCCACCAGGTCCACTTCCTTTCTACATCATTATGTCACTGGGACAAGAGCAATGGAAGCAATGCATTGGGGGTTATATTAACAGAATGACTGGTCTATTAGCACTTATCTTTGCCTGACCACCTGCAGTTACTGACCTGCCCATCATCAGTGCCAGTGCCATGAAAAGCATATTCTACCAGGCTCTGATGTAGCTGCTCCACCAGCAATGTCACTGCAAACAACTGCATGGATCACCACTGCTCCTGTGGCTTTCCATCCTGCAGCACAAACACCCTGACAACAAAATATGGCAGCTTTCCATATTGCTGCCATAACCAGTCAAAACCACAACATTCTCAAAAATTATTCTTGAAAGTACCAACCAACCCATAGCACTTCACATAGGGCAAACCACTGCATCAAACTGTCCTCACTGGTTGTGCGGGTTCCCACATCTTTTTGTTATTTCTACCTTTGCTCCCTTGAAGTCACAGATAAAGAATTTATAGACTATCCTTGAAAACACTAATGGAGGAGAAAGAGCCTACTTAAGGAGTATGAGTGAGAATAAAGAACCATGAAGAGTAGACTTGAGATGCTTAAATACTGGTAAGGACTTAAAATATTAGTTTAACAACAGAATACCCTGTTGTTAAACTAATCACACAGATTTATTCTGGAAGACTTATTCTAGTACTTATTAGGAAATGACCTGAGTTACACACTCATGTCTTACTTATCCCTCAATAAGGATATTGATCATGCACCAACATACCCACCACATACATCAAAGAAAGTGTTTACCATGATATTTATATAGCCTCCATACACTCACTACGAATTATTGTTTAAAATTACTCTCAGATGTATGCACAAGGAGGACGAGCCTTCCCTTCAAAACAAATATACAAATTAAAGTGAGAATCAAAGTCTTCTGTCCCATATGGGTTCCAAAGAGGATTAAATGATGAGGCATACAAGCCATCTCGGGCGCTGACCCAGCAGCCGCTGCCCAGAGGAGGCCGATCTGCCCAGCGCTCGGTCCCGCCGCCGAGTTTGAGCGCAGCCCGCGGGCACTGGGGCTCCACAGCGCTGCCGCCGCCCTGGGGCTGGTCCCGGCGCGGGAGGGACGGACGCGCTCCCCAGGCCGTCCCTCGAGGCTCCGCTTCCCAGGGCGGGCGCTCCGCCACCCCGAGCACGTGCTCGCAGAGGGGGCAGGAAGGCGGCCCCGGAGCGCCCCGCAAGAAGCCGAGCGCGTCCCCCCGCAGCCGCGGGCCAGAGGATCGGCTCCGGGCGCGCTGGTTCCGCGGAGGAAGGCGGCCAGCCCGCGGCTCGGCCCCGCTCCCGGCCCCGCCGCTCACGCACCTGCCGCTGCCCCGTTTCCCGCTCCCGCTGCGCGGCAGCCCCGCACAGCCCCGCACAGTCCCCGCCGCTTCCGGCGCTCCCGAGCCGTCGGCGGAAAGCCCCGCCCGCCACCGCGGAGCCACCGCCCATTGGCCGCGGCCGCGCCGGGAGCTGCGCGTCGGCGGAAGCGCGACGGGCTGGGGTGGCGGCGGCAGGGAGGGAGCCAGCCTGCCTGCCTGCCTGCCTCCCGTGTGTTCAGGGCCCTCCCGCCCCTCCGGGACCGCAGCTGCGCCTCTCCGGGCCGCGTCGCACGATGGGCTCCCGCGCGGGCTGAGCCCCGCCGTGACGGGTACGCGGGGCCGGGGCACCGCGGGGGTCGCGAACGCTCGGTCACGGCTCGCTCGCTTCGGGCCTTTGCGGAATAGGAAGGGCGAAATCAGCGGCTGGTCGGGGCCGCGCTGTGATGTTGTGGCCAAAGATGTTAATACAGCGTGTGGAAGTTCCTGCAGTCTGTGGTTCTGTTGCTTTAATGTCGCTTTGCTCGCGCTGAACTCTGAAATAGATGACATGTCTCCTGATTTGAGGACGAATGGGTGTCGCTAAGTGAGTTACCCAGATCTGCCCCGCCTGGGTGAACCTCTAGGTGAGACCAGATGCGATTGAACCAAACAGCTCTTCTCCCATCTTGGCTGTGCTGAGAATCCCCTTAAAAAGACACTATTGGAAAAGCTTTTGTGGGTTTTCCCTTTGGAGCGTGGGGGAAATGGTAGCATAGAAACGATGAACTTCTGAGGGCCCTGGGTCTCTCCAGTGGAGGCAAACGAAGACAGCCCAGGCCTCCAGAGCACTCCTTACTTCTGTAGGTATTGCACATTTGTTGTCGAGTAAAGCAGTTACTGCTGTATCATCTTCATTCACAGTAAAGTCTCAGCAAATGCTGATTAGTACTGGGGATAGAAATGGAATCATATCATTATATCTGTCTGGAACAAAATTCTACTGATTTTGGCCAAGGTCAATGTGACACCTATATGTAATCTGGAAAAGGAACATATGTGAATTATATGTGTTTGATAGATAGTCCAGGCTGATGGTCTGGTTGGCCAGTCTTACTGTCCCTAAGCTTTTGTAGTTAGATCAGTATGTAGAAGTGTTTTGATTCAAAGCACAGATCCTTTTTATGTTCCTCTTTGGCTTGAGCTGATTGTATTCTTTCTTTACTGATAGTGCTAATCTTATTTACTAACTCTTGATCCTATTTAATATTTGCTTGGTACTATTTAAGTGAGTATGAGATAAAACAGATTATTCTCTTACAGCCTGTTCCATGCCCCTTGTGCAGGGCAGAATTGCAGCAAGCGGTTGAGTGGTTCATACCCTTGTCAGGGACCAAGGAGAACGTGAGTTTGGTTTCATCCTTTACCAGACACTTGATTATTAGCCTGAGCCAAGCTCCTGCCACAACTAATGGTTTGCTGATTTGGGTCTAAACTCCATTGACATTATTAAATCAGGAAGAAAATACTGTATTTTAAGGATCAAGATAGAAACACTTCAATTGGCCTGAGCAGGAGTGTCTTGGGAAACTTGCTCACAAATCATTTGTACATACTTCAGTTGATTAAATCATAGATCTGACATTGCTGCACTGCACTTAAAAACAAACATACAAGTTTGTGCTTTTAAGTTGAAATACCAAAATTAAGTCATGAAAGTATAAGTAAATTTAGGCTCCACTTGATGATTCAGAGGCATCTGAGCTGTTTTAGTGGTGTCCTCATGTGTTCTAGAATAGAGTAGAGAAGCCAATTACTGAAATCAATCATTGTCTTTCTGTGATATCCCCAATACTAATGACAGATGCTGCATTAAGCATATTGGATCGAAGCAAAACACATTCGTGTACCTGATCTATTTTTGAGGAGACTTAATCATTGCTGACAGATGGCTCTTGTCAAAAAATGGCTTATTTTAGTTCGAGTTGTTAGAAAAGACAAAAAAATTGAATTCAAGAAGTCATTGTAATGAGACATAACTCTATTGTCAAAGTTAGTATGTGAAAGTGATAAATGAAGAAGGCATTAATATTACAGAGAGACCATTACATTAATGGGAATTGTGTGCAGTTCTGTGGAGGTATCGTAAAGGCTTTTAGCCAATGCTTTAAAATTGAGTAATGAAGGTAATACCTTGAAGATCAAGAAAACCCCAGAAAAGCATCCAGGATAAAATAGAAATGTTTTGATTTGTTGAAAAGCTCTAGTAGGATATAGCCTTGAAGCCAGGCTGTACCTGACTTTCAGTTGAGTCTCCTGCAGCAAGAAGAAAGCTGAGATGTTGTTTTTTGGTTCATTTGGAGATTTTTGTGAGGGAAGAGGATTTTTTTTTCTTGTCAGCTGAGCAGAGAAACTGGTAATCATGGAGGAAGAATGTGATGAAAATCTTAAACTTATATTGGACATTTCTATGAAGTTAGAAAATTCCTGAAATAGCAGGACTCTCAGCCTTGTAATGATGAGCCTCCAGATGACGTCTTATCTGGTGACTTAGCTAAAGCTGGAACTGGCATTTTTTCACTTCTCTGACTAGAAAACATCGTTATAATAAATGATGATAACCATACAGTTGCTGTACTCCCTCTTGTATTAAAGTTGTGTCTGTATAGTGAGTCAGACATTAAAAATAAGCAGTACTTGCACAACAATCCTAAACAATACAAATTGCTAAGAATATTTGGCCAGTTGGAGCAGCAAAACTGTTAAGCCCAAATTTGTCCAGGGGAGTAGAAACAACGTTCAACCTGAGCTGTCTGGCAGCCTGTGCTGTCAGGGTGCAACTCTTTCAGCTTCTGGAAAAAGCAGTGTGCAGCTGGAAATGGTGATTCTGTAGGCTGCTTTCATTAATAGTTTCCTAACAGCTGAGCTGTTAGGCCAGTAGTAATCTCTGCATGATGTCTCACCTTCTCTGTGGAGGTTTGCAATGTGGCATTGTGCAATATGCAGGCTGACTGCTCTCCAGTCATGCTGTTCTCCCTGGTGCCTGCCCATTAAAATGTGGGCTGCTTTGCCTAATGTTGCAAGGTGCTCCAACTTCTCTTGCCTTTTAGGCAGAGTGAAATTGTTGTATTCAGATACTTGAGGTTCACCTCCAGTGTTTTCTCATCCACTGCTGCAATATATTAGCACTGGCAATGTAGCATAGTGCAGTGTTGAGATTGCTCTTCCTGAATCCTTCTATCCACTGTATATCTGGATAACTGCACTTCAGGCCATCCATTCACATGGCATGTTGCCAAGTCAGTCTGGTTAGGCTTGTCAAGGATACTAATGCCAAGGAGAAAGGAATTTGGGATAACGAACCCAGTCTGCCTAACACCAGATGCAATGTGTGGCCTTTATTGCAAATTTATTCTGTTTTCATTTGCTTAACCTTTATGTTGCCATTTTTGCTCATGCCAGAAAACAGTCTCTGAACATGAAAAACCTCAAAATTGAATCACTTGGAAACTGCCAGTGCAATGAATTGTGAAACAGTAAGCATGTAAGGAAAGAGAAGCAAAGCACTTGGACAATCAGTGTCTACTGGGAATATCAGGCCTTCAGATAACTGAATCATGAAATGCCAGAAAGTATCAGCCGGATTAGAGTGTGATATTAGTTACTTTTGTTGGCACTTGGCCAAGCAATCTGTTCAGACTGGCTACCCAAGAAGTCCCCTAAGAAACTGTAATATGGCAGATGCTGATTTTAATACTTTAAGGTTTTTATCCCTTCATCAGCTTCTGTCTGCATTTTTAAAATGAGGCAGTCTTGCTGATGTGGCTTGATCCTCAGTTGGGAATTGGCTAGAGGTGCCAGGAAGCAGTAATAAGGCTGTAGGAAAATGGACAAGGAGGTAGAAATGGGACTGTGTAGGGAGTGGGATTGCTGTACTATTTGGTGTGGCCTTTCATAAGACGTATGTTTTGATCTTAAATTTTACTCACTTAGCTCTTGGTCTGAACCATGGCTACAGAATGGGTCAAAGAGAATGTTTTGCACAGACTTTACACCTCTAAAAATTTTGGGAAATGTCCAAATGTAAAGAAAAACATTGGCTTGTCATTTTCAAGTTAGTTTGGTTACTCTTCACCTAGTATTAGATGATGTGTATGTGGTTATAATAGTATTTTTAATTGATTAATTGTTTCCAGACATATTCAGTTTCAAGAACATGGAAAAGATTGGAAATTAATATGGAAATATTGGAAATTTTCCTGCTTCCTACCAGGAGAAATCTGCCTAGTCAGAAGGAGGAAGGGGAGTGCTTCTACAGAGATGCTTCTTTATGGTCAGCTCTGGACACTTGCAGTTCTAAAGGAGTGCAGAAACTTGAGCAATAGTTAAGAGAGGAAATGAAAGCTTACCACTTTAGCATCGTGCTACATTGACTTAAAAATGTATTTATCTCCCTCTCCACAATAATTAGGACTCTGCTTTAGGGAAACTTTTTTTTTTGCCCCCGCAACCAATTGTATTTTATTGTATGTTGGATGCAGCTGAAGGGATACTTGCATAAAGAATCAGATCATGTTGGTACTGGTACAAAGGTCAGTAATTTGATACATTGTCCATAATGTTTAATAAATGGACATTGCTTGTTTCTTTTGGCCCCCAACCTTTCTAATTGCACAGATCAGTAGAGGATTATTGTAAGTACACTAACTTGCCAGTTTTTTCTTGACTACAAATTGACTCATTTAGAACAAAAATATGTTTGGATCCAGGAGATGAGGAAGGAATGTATGTCTTCTGTAGTCCATGAAGGCAAAGGATATGAAAGCTGTGCTCTCCTGCAGCTTTATCATGGCTGTCTGGGCTAGGTTTGAAATAAAATTGAAAGTCTTGAAACTATTTTTAAATTGATTTCTTTGTTCAATACAGTTTAACTCTTCTCTCTTTTTCCTTTCATCAGAAAAATGAGTGGTGGGTTGGCACCAAGCAAAAGCACAGTGTATGTGTCCAATTTACCCTTTGCTTTGACTAACAATGATCTGTACAGGGTAAGTTTTAAGAGATGCATTGTTTAAATTAAACTTGTTGACAACAATTTTGACTGTAAAATCAATACTGATATATAAGTTTGTCATGATAAAATTATTATTCATGAAATGCAATTGTCTGTTGCTAAATCTTTTTGTTTCATATTTCAGATATTTTCAAAGTATGGGAAAGTTGTCAAGTAAGTGACCTGATATGGCCTTCTATTTTTGTACCTCTCATTTTAAATATTTTATGTCTTTCCTTCACTTGAAAGTCTTAAGCTTTTTGTAATTAAAGTATGAATGTGGAACTGTATTGAAGTTCTGTTCATTTTTAATAAAGTATAAATTTAATTTAACAACTGAAAGTTCTTGCAGTTACATGCATAATACAAGAATATTTGTGCTTGGGACAGGTTTTGCTAACCATTTTTGAAGAGCAAGTAGAATGTTGTTACATACCATCAGTCTTTTCTCTGAAATAGTTGAAACAGTGTTCTTCTAGTATAATTCCCCTTTCCTTCACCACTGTGGGGCACAGTGGGTAAGTGTGAAAGTGGGAGCTTCTTACATGAACTAGATGTCACAGTTCCCACAATTGCAGTGTGCAGTTCTCTTTGATTCTAGAGGGGCTGGTTATTGTGACTGCTTAGTGTTTTACCTAAAGCTAGATGTAAGGCTGCATTAATGGCTTTCACTATATGGGGTGTTTGTGAACAATATATGTTAATATCTGCCTCTGTGTTCAAATGCTAGAAAGAAATGCCACAGGAAGGAACTGACTGGTTTGTTTCTTTTTTTTTTTTAATTGGTCAGAATAAGGAGACTCTGGTCTTCAGTTTTTAATCTTAAACCAGCAAGTATCTTCTCTAATTTCTAGTAGCTATTGCAGTAACCTGTGAGATACAGTATCAAAGTTTATGAAGTCTCAGAAGTGTGTTTCAGGTGACAAATAGCAGGAAAAGCAAATATATCCTGACTATTATGAATTCAACTGAGTTTGTTCAGTAAGAAATCAGACTTTCTATGGTTCCGACAAGTTCCTGACCTTTTAAAGATTTGTCACACTTGATTCTTTCTATTCTTGTGTTATTAACTGGCGTGTTCAATATCCTGATTAGAAGTCTGACAGTCATACCAGGCTTCTGTTGGAATTCTTCAAAGAGTAGATTGGCATAAAAATTAATAGAATTGTCCTAAAGTCAGTTTGATTGACACTTGAACTTAATGCAGTTGGACATGTCCAAGAGGCTTTGTTAGTAAAACAGTTAAGTTCAACCTTTTTGTGCATGTATTTGGGGAAATTTGAGATTTCTTTACTGTGTTTTTACCATATGGGTCATCTGTTACTTAAACAGGTTGTATGTTAAGCCTTCTGTATTGAAGTGGGGTTTGGTTTTTTGGTTACTTCTTAGAATTTTGGCTTGCCCTGTGGCTGAACCTTGTTTTGCCTGTGGTGGACATAGGGAGGAGTGTATTCCCTACTTTTTTATGTGTACTTTGATTTTTATGTACATGCTCCCTGACATTCTGGTTCTCACTGTTGTTTTGTTAGGTTTTTTCAGGACTAAATACAACTGACACTAAGATTGAAAGAATTGAGGCTGTGTGGATTCCAGCCATACACACAACCAGGCCCTGTCTTCTAGATTTTTATCTTTAGGTTTTGTTTTACTGTTTCTAGATTTTCATGAACTTCTCAGTGTACTATTGAAGCTGTTGATTTCAATGTTAGACTGAAGATTTAACTTTGCATGTCATGTGAAATAACACATGCATCCATGATCTTTGGCTTTCAGTTGGAGATATTTGTAGAACAGTACTACATATAGGTAGTTGTGAACCTGTTTAGCTGATTAGTCCTACACAAACATAGATTTCTCAGTTTGGAGGCAGTTCACACTGTGCTTTTCATCAATAATAGCAACGGTAAGATTACTCATGAATTTTCCTTTCACCTCCAGTATACGTAGTTCCCTCCAGTTAGGTTGCTTGTAAATTTAAAGATTATGTTTTCTGTTCTTCAAGTCACCCAAGGGAATTAAGAGTGACACTGGTCCCAGAAAGACCCACATGCTTTTTAAAAGTCATCTCCACTCTACCTCTAAATACATGGCCAGGTTAGCTGCTCCTTTGAATTTCTGTTTAATGAGTATTTTTATTGTTAAATATACTTTAACTCTTTTGCTGTGTAACAAAGGTAAGATGCCCCTGAGATTTATAAGGAAAAAAAAATCTCTGAAATAATTGTAGTGTGTTTCACTAAAATCAATAATGTGGTTATGTTTCCAGAGTTACCATTATGAAAGACAAAGACACCAGAAAGAGCAAAGGAGTTGCCTTTATTTTGTTTTTGGATAAGGAATCTGCACAAAACTGTTCTCGGGCACTTAATAACAAACAGGTAAGTTGTGGAAAGTTTTTATGGCAGGAGGGTTGGGCTTTCAGTCCCAAAACATTTACCTTTTCTTTCCAATTTTCTGTAGTTGTTTGGAAGAGTAATAAAAGCAAGTATTGCCATTGATAATGGAAGAGCAGCAGAATTCATTCGCAGGCGTAACTACTTTGATAAGTCTAAGTGTTACGAATGTGGGGTGAGTAAAACTAAAAGAAATGGACAAAGGTTGTGGGTTGACATAAGAATAACTTAATAATTGAAATAATACTAAATAGTAGTAGTAATAGTAGATGGTAATGAAAGTAACAAAGAGAAATAAAACCCAAGAAAAATAAGTGATGCACGTGAAAACTATTGCAATGACAACCTCCTACTCTTTGCTTCAGAGGATCTGCTTTTGCTATATCTTTGGAAGTTCATGATTTAGCTGGCAGTAAAATAAATACAGGAAACAACTGTTCTATGTAGAAGTGAGTTTTAAATTTTAATTAATTCCTGACTTTTCCTGAACATAGTAATGTAGGACAGTGATATTTGGATAGTATTTAATGTCCAGTACAAACTTGATTTATATTCATAACACTTCTTACAGCAAAAGTGTCACCTCAATCCTGTGTCTTAAATTGTTAATTCTGAGGTTTCTATCTTGTTTTGAATCTAAACCATGTGTAGTGTATTCAGTTATTGTAACAGACAAAAAATCTACTGTGCTTGTAGCTTGTTCTCAGTTTGCAGTTAAGCATGCATATCACCACTAATCTCTTCATTTCCATGGCAAGCCTAGAGAAGAGTTTGTCTTTTGTGTGCTAATTCAGCATTCCATTTATCTTACTAATTGCTGCCATTTTTCCCCCCATGAGCTTCCCTCACGGTATGTTTTAATTTATAGTTGTTTGTAATGGCTTCTATTAAGCAATATTTCTTTTTCTCCAAGGAAGCAGGACACTTAAGTTATGCTTGTCCTAAAAATATGCTAGGAGAGCGGGAACCACCAAAAAAAAAAGAAAAGAAGAAGAGAAAGAAAATAGTGGAGCCAGAAGAAGTGTATGTATATTGAGTTACATGTTACTACTACTTTTAGGAAGCTTTATCATACTAAACACTTAAATTAAAGATCTATATTTTTTTCTCTCTCGATGCACAATGAAGTGAGGAGGAAGAAGAAAGTGAAGAGGAAGGTGAAGACCCTGCTCTAGACAGCCTCAGCCAAGCCATAGCTTTTCAGGTACAAAATTGAAGCATGGCGTATTTATAATTTTTTTTTTTTAATTCAACTCCCTTCTTTAGCTGCTTTCAGAAGCTTTGATATACATGCATAGGTCTGTCTGCTCTATAGCACTTAGTGGGCTCTGGTTTGGTAGCAGTAGTTGGTAACTATAGTTGGCTTCTTTATATTGCAGGCATGTTCAGTGGAATTTTGTTTGGGTTTCTTGCTCTTTCACTATTGCTGCATTTGTGTGTTGCAGCCTTTTTTTCCTTCAAGCTCCTTTGGTATTTTCTTCTGTCATCTCTGCTGTGATGCTCTGCTAGGTTTTTGCCCACAAATCCCTCTTTACTTTGTTGTCTGAGGAGACAAAAAAGCAGTCATGTATGAGTGACCAGACACATCCTCTGTCCTCACTGGAATGTCCTTGAACATTTATTACTGGGACACTTGCTTTGCCTAATACAGACCATCCCATTGTCTAATAGACCTCATCTCCCAAAACATACTGAATGCATATTTTTTTATGTAGCTAGCTTATCTAACATCTGTATTACTGTCTTTATTACTTCTTTATCTCTACACCCTTTTGCTTCATGAAACAGAACAAGCCTGACCAGATATTCAAATTTCTTGGGTCCCTGGGCAACATTGTTGCCTATGTGCCTGTCCCCCCCAAAATAACCCTCAAGAATTAATAATTTTGTTCTGAATGTGACTGTAATGAGTGCAGGACTTTTCCATGATGATGTCCAAAAAAGTGATTCACATATTCACAGTGTTCCTCTCTTCCCCCAAAAACTCCACAATTGGAAATAAAACCTATAAAGGCAGGAAACATTCTCATTTCTATTGATGCCTCACTAACACCATCCAAAGATTTTTAACTGGTAAAAATAGGAAGCTTCTATTTAAACTATTAGTTGAATAACCTTCAGTAATAATCCCCAAAGGCACTCATTATGTGAATGAATGACTGCAAAGGACAATAGATAGAAGACTTATTAGCAGAACAAAGCTGATTCAATAACATCAGTTTAAAACATGAGGCATTTTTTGCTTTAGATCTCAGCTAAAGAGATCTGCTTAGATTTTTTGCTTTAGATCTCTCTATATTTTTGGAAGTTTGCCATGGGCAAAATTCCTCTCTTTGAGAATACATGATGGTCCAAACGGCTGCTGTGGTGTAGAAGACAGCTTATATGTGAGAACTACTTTCAGAAATGTTTCCTACTGCTTTGATCACACAGTTTATCTGGAAATAAACCCTTGTACTTCTTTAACTTATTTAAGAATTCAGTGTATATTAAGAATTAGCATTGTTATTTGTAGTGCACGTTAATTTTTCTTAATCTCAGCTAATACTTTTCTTCATTATAGCAAGCCAAAATTGAGGAAGAACAGCAAAGATGGACACAGACTGCAGGGGAATCTTCAATTTCAGATGATTCAAAACGTCCACGGATTAAGAAAAGTGCTTATTTCAGTGATGAGGAAGAACTTAGTGACTGAAATAATACCGTTCTAAATGCATATATCAGATATATATAGTGTACAATTTGTAAAGTGCTACAAAGTGATCTGTAATACAGGTTTGTTTTGATGTTGAAGACAGTGAAAATCATGGGGTTGTTTTATTCTGTCCCCTGATTCTCCCATCTTTTTATATCTGTGTCTCAAAACCTTTCGTTTCAAGGCAACTTTTTAAGAAAATGATGTAATTATACACTTAAATCCAGAAAAGTATCTGTGAGAGTGCGTCTTGCAGTTAGTGTCTAGACCCAAGTCCTAGCAGTGAAATGTTTCATGAGAGAATTTCTTAAGGCTTTTTTCCTAAGAGGAGTTCCTCTTAGGATGACTGTTAACACCACTGATGCTTTATGTGTTGGTCTGTTTGGAAGCAGTGCTTTAGCAGTACTTCAGTAGATTATGAAACTTGCATTAGTTCTTCTGCATAGGGTTGAATTTCAGCTTTAGGTATTGTCTTTTTACTCTTCATGCAGTACTATAATAAATTATTGTTACATCAACATTGTTTTTCCTGACTGCAGTTTGAGTGCCTAATAGTTATTAGGGTTATCCACAGAGTTTTAAATACACTTGGATCTAACCTGGATCACATCTGAACCTGTTGGCAAAATCCAAAAGGCATCGTTTCCTACATGCCTAAAAAGAGCTTCCATGTGTACTTGGAACCGTCATGGTCTCTTAGCAAAGTGTGTTGCCACGTATTCTGCACATAAAGCTTTTCAGACTTTCTGTGTCCCTAGATCTCTCTAGGGTTCTAGGCATGTTGTCCTGTAGCTGTGATGGTTCCCAAAACCACAGATACATGGTGGTAATGGTACCCATTTTATATTGGTGTGTAGTCTAAACTCCTCACTTTTAGGAAGCGCAATATAAAATACATTCACAATTTCACACTTCGAATAAGAGACGAGCTGGCCTCTTTCTATTTTCAGTTCTTCCTGTTTGCTCATCAGGACTTGATTTTCTTCCAAATATAGAAAATGTAAATCCAAATATAACATTATGTATTCTTAATTAATACCAATTTATATTCAAATATGTAACTGGGTGCAAAGCAAAGAAATATGCACACTCACCCTCTAAGCTAATATAAAGTAGTGACATTCAGAACATCATTCTGGTGCCTTCTGTTGCTCCTTAAACACAAGAATTCAGAAACAAGAATGAAGTAATTCAAGTTCTTTCTATGCAAGCTCAAGTCAGAATAGGAAGGAGTATTGGCCTCTAGATACAGAAAGATCTTGGACTCAGTAATCCAAGGAATGTTTTTAAGACTGACTTTGACTTTTTGCTGAAAGTACTGTATATTAAATCTGAAGCTTCCTTCACTGAATTTCAGGAAGATCTCTTAATATTGAACAGCTGAGAGCTAAATTGCCAAGCGTACTGTTAATAAATAAAAATCACTCTGCATCATGTATGTGTGCAGTAATGAAGCTTGAGGAGTTCTAAACTCTACTAAACAAGCAAGTAATGCTGCCAGCATGCTTTTCTTCAAATGTTAGGTTAGGGCTCAATGGCAATCCAAAAAAAACAAAAAAACCCAAAAAAAAAGATGATAATGTCACTACATAAAATCAGAGTTGGTCTTCTCAAATACCATATTCAATGCTGCTTTAAAAAAAAAAAGATAGAAAACTAGAATTTGACAGAACTAGTTTGACTTGGTCCATGACTTTGGTTTGGAAATATTTGATAGCTTGTTAGAATTAAGATTTCAGTGAAGTGATTAGACAGCAATCTTCCAACTTTTATTTCATTACACCTTGTAATGTAGTAGTGGAACTCTGCCATTAGACTTTTTGTCAGGATCGTGGGGTCAAAAGGATTTGACTTACATGTGGAGCACGATATTTTAAAGTCTGCTCAGAAATATCCTCAAATAAAAAATAAAACTGACATTGTTCTGACCTAATACACTACTTTTCCAGAGTTCCAGTACCTGAAGCACATTGATGTATCTTTCTAGTCTGCTGCTTCTGCCTCACTGCTTTCCCCATAGGGTTTGGTTTTGTCAACATGAAGCAGTAGCTCTGTCCAGGCTATTACAACTGAACCAGTGTTGTTCCTCCATGCTCTTTTGTTCCAAGCATAAAGTCACTTGAGGTAGGTGACATTGGAAAAGAAACATAAAAATGAACCTGCTTCTGTGCAGAATTGGCATTTAGAATTTTTTATGTTAAATCATCTTCCTTTAACGGTTTTCTTAATTCTTAACTTCTGTTGATCAGTAATGTGTGTAGTTTTTGTATTAGAAGGCATCTAATGCCTAAAATACAGTCTAAAGGGAATTTCAGGAATAGGATCTTTGCACTTGGCTTCCTGAATAATTTTAAGTTTCAGTTGTTTGTTGGCAAGCTAACAAAGCATTTATAGGTAAGAAATTCAGAACACTAGCATTAGATAACTATTAAATTAGATAGCATAAGTACCTGTTTTTCTTGAATACAAAGTTGTTTTCTAGAGCACCCCCAATGCAGCTGCTTCATTGTGGGGGAAAAAAAAAAAATAAGGCCAAAATTTGTCAATAAAGTCTGTTCATGACTTTCACTGTGGAGGGATCTGCTCCTGTTGATGCCTACCCTCCCTTACTCTAATCAGCATGGCTTCAGATTTCCACCTGAATCCCATCAGGGCTGAGGAGCAAGGGAAAGTGTTAACAAGGCTCCTAATTTAGATTGGGCCAAGAGGGTGCAATTAGTGTGCAAAGCTCAAGCAAGCAGTAGTGCTTTTGTCAGTTTGGTATCATAAAGCAGGAACAGGTGTTGGTGGCTCTTGGCCAGACAGGTGAGATTGGGTAGCCTTGTTATCAAAAGAGAGAAGAATAGAAAATGCCTTGTAGAACACTTTCCTGTTATTGTTAGAAAAAACACAGAGTTTTCTTCTGAGAGCTTCATGTTCAAGCTGTATGTTGGTTTGGGGCTATTTTTAATACTTTGAGGCCCTACCTTAGGCTTGCCAACTGAATTCTAGTTTTAGAGTATAAATAATATGTCCCTGATTGTAGAGAAATTTATGCTAAATGGGAGAGTTTTGGGGTTTTTTTAAATAATGTCAAAAACTCATGTCTCTCTGCAAATACCTACTTACTAGATTTTGTCTTTTGTATTTTCAAAACAGCTTGAAATTGTCCAAATATGTTCTGGGTCATAGGACCTCTCATCTATTGAAATGGCTAACACAGTAGTGTCTACAAAATCACTAGGAGATGCCTTTTATCTGTCCTTGGGGAAGAAGGGATATGGAAGTGGGATAAGGATGATTAGCTTAATTGATTATAAATGGTATCACTCATACTGTGCCTGTGCAGCACTTGTTAAAACCACTGCAGCTATGAGACACAGGAGTAATTTTAGTCCATGTTTAGTAGGCTCCCACTATGTTTCTGGCACATTCAGGTTACTACTCTCAGTAGAGCAATAGAAAGGACTGTAAATATAAAGTACTAAATTTACCTAAATAGGTGATCTCTGGAAGAAATTGTATCTTTGGCTTCTGGGTCATTGTGTTTTCTGGGATAGCCCTTCTTTAATCTGCAGAGATGACTGACTGTAGCATAGGAAGCTGAGCTGTGCAAGCTGTTTAAAATTTTAAAATATGGTTTACATCCAGCTTTTCTAAGCAATTTAATAAGTGCTACTATGAATGTTTCTATTTTATTTTGCATCTGCAGTGTCAGTATGATGATATATTCCATCACTCTTCTGCTATTGCTCTTCTATAAAAATATTTCAAATAATATTCTTCCAAATGTACTATCTTAAAATAACTGGCATTTGATAGCTGATTGCTTTTTAGTATAGATTACAAAACCATTTTTAGGTGTCCTTAAAATGCTCATCCTCAGCAGCTTTGTTTATCTTACAGATCTTAACAGGGTGAGGGTTGTTTCCTGTAGCTGTTGAAGGCAATTAAAAAAAATTACTACACTGCTCCTTCTTTACAGAAAAAGGTGTAAAGTGGAGGATTTAATCACTTGTAATGTAGATGACCTTATTTCTTGTATCTATGCCGGTATCTGTAAAACATATCCTAGAAGGAATAAGCTGAGGAAATAGTCCATGTAAAGAAAGCAATATTTTTTAGGTTGAAGAATTGTACAGGTTTGAGAAACAGCATTCCATCACTGTCAGGCTAACCCTGACCCTGCTGTGCATTCAAACAGAGGAAATGTGTGCTTATGCATGCATTTAATGGATGTGACAGGTAATGCAGCAAGTAAAGAGTTGCAGAAATCGTGGCAGTAGGATGTGATAAAAGTGTGTGAAACATTTAACCAACCCAGTTAGGGAATGTGGGTCACAGTGGCTTGAAGAAATACCACAGTTACTAATATGAGAAGTTTCCTGTCTGATGAATGGGATACTTCAGAGAATCAAAAGCAACTCTGAGGTTTTAAGTTCATGAAAGGCAATGGCTATGAACCTGCATCAAGATGAGCGGACCCATTAAAATTCAGTTTTATCAATATCCAGTTAAAGAGAATTAGAAGGCATCCAAATTTGGATATTGCATCAAGCTCAGTGCAGTGCAGCAAAAACTGTCACTTGGTTGCAGGAGTAAAAATGCATTATTTTAACTGCTTTTGTGGAGGCAGAGGATGTAGATGTGCTCTGTTCAAAGAACAGATGTGGCTTTGGAAGGAGTGTCCCAAAATAGAACCAAAAGGCATATTAAAGACTCTGTGGGTATACTGTGAAGTTCCAAGGCACTAAATTGTATTTTTAGAGTGGGCTAGAAGTGCTTGTACCATGTTTGCTTAATTGAAAAATTAGTGATTTATATTTGAAAATTATCAACCTTTTGGTAGTACAAGTTTATACTGATGTTCAAATGCTCAAGTAAGGAAGAGAAAATAAAGGAGGATACAGTTCTACAAAAGACCTCACTTGAGATGTATTTGATGTGTGAATTTGATTAGGTGGCAAAGAGCCATCTGCCCACGAAGCCTGGAGCCATGAGGGTGCATATAAAATGAAACGACTGAGCAGCATATGGCAGTTAGGAGAGATGAGAACATGCGGTACTTGGATGTGCTGCTTTTGAGTTCATGAACCATGTATCTGGAATGAATGATTGTAGTCCTTGAAATTATGTTCTTTCCAAGAAAGTTTTTGAAAATTTGTCAGCTAGGTTTATTTTCATCTGCTGCAGCATAACATTTTAAAGAGTTTTTTTACTGTAGGAGGTTTTCACAGGAAAAGCTTAACTGAGGAAACTTGGTTAATTAAAAGCTGGAACACAGTTCTGTTCAAGGGTGGATCTCTGTGCGTCCCAAGCCTGTGGCATCCCAGAGAATGCAAGGCCCCAGGCCTTATTCATGTTCATATCTAATTTAGCTGAAGCTGCTGGAGAATGTCCAGAATTCTCTTCATTCAATGCAAAATTTAGGTCAAGCCCATGATTAAGTACTTGAGTTCAGGGCAAAGTAGCCATTGAAAAGCTTTCACCTTTTTTTACTCTGGTGTTATTTCTGCCAGGATGGTGGATTTTGTACTGT